GTCCTCTCCCATGACTTAAAGTCACCCTCAGCCAGACAGAAGCAGTGTGGGCAGGAGCAGAGGACAGTCAGCAGCCCTGCTCTGGGGCTGAGGAACCACCAGCCTTGGGAGATGCAGTGAGCCTCATCTGAGCTGGGCTTTTGAAGGCTGAACTTCCCAAAGCATCACAAAGCAAGTACAGCTGTGCCTACCTGGACATCTCTCTCCACTCCAGCCCTGCTGGAGTGCTGAGAAGCTGGTTGAGCTGGATGAAGAGCAGAGGGCAGCTGGTGTTCCCTCCTTCCTCCCACTGCAGGATGGTCCCAGCTCTCTTGGCCCCTGGAACCACGATGGAGGGGATGATGCTGCAGCCAAAGGCTGGGCAGGGAGCTTCAGGGTCACCACCTTCTGATCTGGGTTGTGAGTGGGTATGTGCTGTGGGCACCTGGGCCTGCATGGCTGCCAGCACTAGCAGCCACAGTCATGGGCTGCCCTCCAGAACTGCCAGCACTCACAGGATCCCACTCATCCCACACCTTATAAAAGCTGCAAACCAGCTTGAACTGGCCACAAACCAATACATGAGAGCCAAGCCCAAAACAATGACCTCAAAACATCAGGGCCAGCCCTGTGGGTCCCCATGTGGCCTGCTTCTGCCACCCCAGGCCACACAGCTGGGCCAGAGACCAGAGGAACCCCCTGCCTCCTTCTAGTGACCCGTGGGGACAGAACCACATTGGTTCTCTCGGGGCAGCAGCATGTTCCCAAGCCTTCCTGCAGCCTGCAAGGCTTTGGTAAGGGGACAGCGAGGACAACCCTGGATAGCCAGTGGCAGCATCAGTGCCTGTGGCACTGTGCCTGTGTGCGTGACAGGAGGGGTGGCATGACCCCTGGCAGCTCTTCCCAGGATGCGTGCTGGGGAAGGATGTGTCACCAATGAGGAAATCCAGAGTGTGGCAAGAGAGGGCTGCCACTGGCAGGGTCCATGGCAAGGCCAGGACGGCGTCAGGGCTGCAGCCATCCTGCCACGCAGAGGGCGAGAGGATGTCACAGTGCGTGTGGGAGGAAGGATGTGGGCACAGCCCCATCACCCTGTGGGCGCAGGGGGTGGCAGAAGGGGTGGCACAGTGGGCACCCGCTGTGCCTGCAGCGTGGCCGTCACCAGGCGAGGCTCTCCTGGCCCTGCACACAAACAGCTGGGCTGTGTGCAGTGCAAACACGGCAGCGGGCGACACAAAACACCCAGCCAGCACCAGCAGGCTGGGCTGGAGCCCACCAGCACCGGGCAGGATTGGGCCCCAGGGATAGCCCAGAGTGGGGCCAGGCAGCACTGCTGCTAAAGTCACATCTGAGGGGGAGTGGGGTGCACTGGTTTCTGGGGTGCTGGCACCTGCCTTGGACAGGTGGGCTGGGAGTTGAGGCTGAGAAGTTGCTGGTGCTGGCTTCAGCCCTGGGGAAGGCAGGGGGTGGGCACCACCTCACATCAACCCTGCTACCTCAAAGTACAACCGACCCCCCCCCCTGCACCCATCCTCTGCGCCGTAGCTGATTCCCAGGACTCTTTCCATCCCCACAACCACCTTCACTGCAGCAGCTGCCCCACGGGGCTGGCCTCATCCTTCCCTGCTTAGCACCAGCAGGAGGGGGAGGACAACAGCTACAGCGTGTGGGGGGGGCAAGGCTGTGCCAGGACACCCTCATGCTGCAGTGTCCCTGGCCCTGAAGCACTGGATTCAGCTAAGGCCACCTCTGACTTCTTGGAGACTCTCAGCTCCTCCAGGAGAGGTATGGGATGGGGAGGACAGGGCTGGGGGACTGGGCTCAACATGTGGCTCTTACTTTGCTGGGACGTGATTCCTGTGCCTATGCAGGATGGAGGGAACCTGCTGCCACTGGAGGGCTCCATGCTCGGGGTCATATGGTGTGGGGGGCTCACATGGCACGGGGGGATACAGCAAAGAAGCAGTCAGAGGGTCTGGAAGCTCACAAAGGGTTGATGGGGGTCATGGAGTTAAGGGGGTTCACATGGCGTGGTGGGGGTCCATGGCAGGGGTGACACATTGCATTGGAAGTCATATATGGGGGAGGTCCCATGGCATGGGGAGGGGGCACGGTGTGGTGGGGGTCCGCTAGAAGTGTCACATGGCATCCAGGTCACATGGCCTGAAGGGGGGGTCACACAGTGGGGGGCTGTTCACGTGGCATGTGGGGGGCACATGTTGGGGGACTCGTGGTGTGAGGGGGATTGCTGGGCAAGGGGTTCACTTTGCATGGGAATGGTCAAGCAGTGTGGTGGGGGTCAGACAGTGACAAGGGTCACAGCTGAGGGGTTGCTATCTGGCCAGCTGTCTCCTGGCTCTGCCTTCTCTGCACTCCCCAGCTTTGGGGCTGCCATGGGTACCCCCCCACCCCAGACCTCCTTGCTGTGGAGGCCTGGAGACTTTGGGGTGGCCTTGGTGGGTTGCCATGCACCCCTGCCCTGTGCTCTACCCTCCTGTCCCCAAAACACTTTTCTCCCCATTGCTCCCCAGGGCCACCCTCCTGGGGGACCAACACTGCCTATGGGGCTGGGTCCTGGCACCCACCTGTCCCTCAGCCCTCACCCCCCCCAGCCATGCTCCCCATGTCCCCCCAGACACACTCCCTGTGTACTAGCGTGTGCTGAAGGCAGATGCTGTGGTGGGTGGGGGCTGCCCTTGGCTGGATTTGGGACCAGGGGGAGACCTTAAGCAGCAGGAGAGCTGCAGAGGGCACAGGGCACCCAAACCTTCATGAGGGTTCACCTCCACCTCCTGTGGGGGCTGCCTCAGCACAGCTCCCAGCATGGGGTGGTGTATGGCCAGCAGTGGGGTGCAGGCAGGAAGGGTGTGGGGTGGCTGCAGGGACAGGGAGGCCCGGAGGCAACCTGCAAACCACCCCCGTTGCCTGCTGCCAGCCTTCTGTGCCAACAACCTCCCTGGCAGCTGATGTGAGCCAGTGGGACCAGGGGGAGACCTTAAGCAGCAGGAGAGCTGCAGAGGGCACAGGGCACCCAAACCTTCATGAGGGTTCACCTCCACCTCCTGTGGGGGCTGCCTCAGCACAGCTCCCAGCATGGGGTGGTGTATGGCCAGCAGTGGGGTGCAGGCAGGAAGGGTGTGGGGTGGCTGCAAGGAGGCAGGGACAGGGAGGCCTGGAGGCAACCTGCAAACCACCCCCGTTGCCTGCTGCCAGCCTTCTGTGCCAACAACCTCCCTGGCAGCTGATGTGAGCCAGTGCCTCCCTCTCCTGAGGTGCCAGGTCAGCCTGCAAATGCTGCCCATTCACGCTACCTGTGCACGCCTGGCCTTGGGAACGTGGCAAGGAACCGACAAGGGGGGAAAAAAATACCATCCCCGTGTGGAAACCTGCCAGGGAGCCATTGCCTGGGGCTCCCCAGAGGTGCAGTCCCTCGGCTGGGCCACCACTGACCCGCCTTGCTTGCTGCCAGAGGTCTCGGGGCTGTGGAGAGCCGGAGCAGGCGGAAGGAAAAACATCCAGCAAACAATTGCAAAAGTCGAGTCTGAGCAAGAAGGAGGGCGTGATCAGGGGGGGTTGCCAAATCCGGTGGTATTCCTTGGAGACACCAACAACAATGGCAGGAATGTTTAATCATGGCTTGCTGAACCCAAACCGGCAGTGGGTCGGGGGTCTCGGGAGCTCGAGTAACCAGCAAGGGGCTGTTGCTGACCCGAATGTGAGCTGGGAAACGATTGCATTTGCCCAGCAGAGTGTTCTGGGCCATCACCTGGGCTGAGGAAGAGGCCAAACACCCCAAGCTGTCAGCAGCGCAGTGAAGGGGACAGAGAAATGCTGGCAGCCTCCAAACACCGCGGCTGGGATGGAGGAGACAGGGACAGAGACTGACTAGGAGGGGATTGTGAGATGAAGCCATGGCAGAACCAGTCAGGCCTCCATCAAGGCTCAAAGGTGGCCTTTAGGACAGAAAAGGGTGTCTGCCACCGTCTCAGGCTGCCACCAACATCCTTCTTCCCATTGCCACAGGGTGGCACGTGGCTGGAAGTCTATCCCTTATCAGGGTGTCACTGAGGCCAGGAGGAAGTTTCAGCTCTGAGCTGCTGACCCTTGCCTAGCACCTTTCTTGCGGGGTGCGCTTGCTCCTCTCAAACCCCTCCAGGCCCCCTTTGGCAGCGGCCCCACCAGCCGGTCAGCAATGCCGTAATCCCCCCCCCACTTTTCCTCCCCG